GACTTATCCAACGGCTGTGATTATTTAAAACTAACACGAGTCTCTATAAGTGTCCAGTTTTAGGGTCTTACACAAAATTAAACCAAACAACATGAATCAAACATGCACTTTATTTATTTCCACTAAATAACAAAAGTACATCAAATCGGATTGAAGTTAAGGGCATACAAAACTGTCTAACAACCCGGGCATTGTTCCTTCCTATCCTCCAACCACTCACTTTCTCTTCCCTATCTGCCTTAGAGATTAATCTACTGAAAGCATCTGCAATTAATTTTCTCGTTCTTTAGAAGATCCAGAATTTCAATATTGAACTATGGAGTGGTGATATTGTTTCGTCTTTCTGGATAACAAGTTCAATGGCGTCAATATCTGTTTGCAGTTCTCAGAATAACTTGAATATACTTGTCATTTTTTGTTGTTGTTCTGGCTTTCAACATCTTACATTTTAAGAAAATATTCAAATTTTGATATTGAATGGTTTATCCATACTCAAGTTTCTTCTTATCTATTTTTTCAGGCTTTTATATCCCTACAAGAAGCTGGGGGCATCTCTGTTTTGCAAATATGCAAAGATATAGTTTCTGCTTTTCATAATCTCAGAATTATAGATGAGTAAGTACTTCATTGCATCATAAGTTGCCTTATGTGTACTATATAGCCTCACCTATGACCTTCCTATCATGCAGTATTGATAGGCAATTATGTACCAGAACTAGGGCAATAAGACATGGAAGGACAATATTATATTTTCATTGTGGAAAGCACACCAAATCATTCCATTTTTGTTGACATGGAGGAAATAACCCAACTTGGAAGCATGCTTTTCAATTCGAATTGATTCTCATCAATAATTTATCCTACCACCTTGTGACAAGTTATGTGTTACTGATCTGATAGTTAGGTTATTAAACTGTTTGCTTACCATAACTCTGGTATCACTAATTTAGGTTTGACAAAAGTGCTCAACTGAATTACATAATTGTTGCTATGAAGATCAGGCGCAGTATTGATTTTAGTACGAAATTTGTATTCCCAACTGTAATGTTTTTATTCTATTTCCTTGGATTCTCTTTAAGAACTCAATGATTTTCCTTTTCTTATTTATGGGGGAAGGGGTGAATCGGTGATGATGATCTGCTCCTCGAAGTAGCTTGGGAATAAGGACCTTGGATAAAGGCCTGACACCCAGTCCCAATTATTATTCCTGATCAGTAAGTTCCCAATTTCTGATGATATCTTAAGGCTGGGCTGTGTGAAGAAATTGGAGATGGAAACCCGAGTACCCAATGAGACACTGAGACCATGTAAAGAAGATGATCAACAGCTTCAAGGGCTCAATACTTTGGTCTTCTATGGGCCTCATCTTGCTTATGTTATTACTTTGTATATTATGCATTTTGTGTGTAGACATGCCTAAGGGATTCTCTCTAATGTCGTTTGGTTTCGTGGTAACAATGTATGTGGCCCTCGATTTGTACATGCCATCATTGCACAGGGCCTCAATTTGCCTCTCCCCCCCCCCTCTGCACGTGTGCACGCACACACACACACACACACAGAGAATCCCTAACCTTAGGCCAAAGCTCTCAAGAATCTCAATTACTGTTACATGTTCTTTGTGTTTGTGTATCAGTATCTACTCTTCTGCTTGGTGGCTCGATTATCTTTGGATTACTTGAGAGGTTTCTTCCATGAACTTGACAATTAGAACTGCAGTCATTCATCAGAGGGGGAAAACATTTCTATACATTTACCCATATTTTTATGTTAATGTTCAAATTCCACTATGAATTTTCTTTACTTATTTTAGTTGATTGCATCATTCTACAGGCACATGGAGATTATACCTTTTGGGGAAGAAGCACTATTTACCGCAGCAGCAATTCTTGCAAGGAATTCATAAAAGTTTGAAGCAGTTACCATTTGCACTCCTTGCTAGTTAAGTAGATTTTGTATCAAGGTAACCGTGCCTTCTCTTAGCACATAGGAAACATGTAGGGGTGCTTCTGGATTCTTATGTGGTAGGAGAATGTCACTTAGGTTAAAAGGATAATTTTATTAAATGGTTATAAGGGAAGCAATGTTGTGTGGTGTTGGGCAGTTAAGAAACATCATGTACATAAAAATGTGTGGCAGAAATACAAATGTTGAGATGGATGGGTGGCCAGGTGGGAAAACTAGAAAGGATAGTATCAGATACAGAACCAGTAAGAATTGTTCTTTTGCAAGTTGAAGGGGCTAGAAGAGCTAGGGGCAGACCAAGGCCTTGTGTTGAATTAGTGAGAAATGATTTGAAGGCCTATGGTTAACAATGGATATGTCAGTTGATAAAACAGGATTCATGTAGTCGATCCCATATAGTTGGGACAAGGCTTAGATGATGATGATGATGACGATGATGAGCCTGTCGGTACTCTCTATATTTCTTCTGACTTAAATAGACAAAGTTAATCTGTAGACTTTATTAGAGTTGATAGCTTGGAATGTGATTATAAATGTTGGCACTGCAGCTTTGAGCTAAAGTAGACATGCATTGTGGTGTCAGTTATGCCAGCAGTTGCTATGAGAACAGTATCAGTTCTGTTAGGCTTTTTGGGTTTTATTAGCTGGTAAAGCCCTTGGTACAGAAATATGAATATGCATGACACAAGATTTCGTTTTAGACATTATTTGTGGAGTTAGGCTTCTGGTTTTTGGCCAGAAAGAAGCTGACATGTTGTTCCTAACCATCTGATAGGACTCTCTTGAGGTGCCTGAAGTTCCCTGGTCCATTGCAATCCCATTACCCTACTATGTATTGGTCTTCTCTATTTAATGGCATCATTCTATGCACTTGCCTGCCTGCACAAGAGCAGAGCACATCTTTTTCTCATTTGGCCCCCAAGTCATGCTGAAATATGAATGCAATGGAGGGATAAGGTGATAAGGAAAGGTGGGACATTTCATCTAGGGTTGCAAGCAGATTGAATTGGATTGGATATAGGTATATCCAAATTTGATTCATCTATATGAAAGAATGGTAGGATCCATCTAATGGACGCCATAAAGGTT